CCAGTGAAATATATTTATGTTTGTGGTTGTAATGTGACAAAATATGGAAAAGTTCAAGGGGTATGAATACTTTTGCAAACCACTGTATATTGTACTTTTAATAAATGACTTGCACCCAAGGTTAACGCGTGCACGTTTTTCTTTAGTCTCTGCCACCACTGAGTTCTTGCATAGACATTTTTGCGTCACCTCAGGACAAAGTCGTTTCACTCACGAGGCTCCGTTTTCCCTCTTCCACGAGTTGAAGTCAGATAAACTCTGACTCGGTTCTGCTCAGTTCAAAACCAGACAGCTCCTGTGTGCATTGACTGTCTCAGAGATGAGTTCGTYGGTGACAGAGGGGTGCCGAAGATGGATTAGATATGGTTTTATCAATGAGGACCAGGCTGGCATGGCTGCTGCAATCTCTTATCATATTGTCTCAATTTGTAAAGCAGGAGGAACAAGGGAGGGAAGACGGGGAGAGGAGGTGGGGGTGTGACTCCGAGTGAAGTCAAAGAAATAAAGAGGTTTTACAGGAAGCAAAAGTGGTGGTACGGAAAGCACGGATTTCAAGAGTGCCAGGTTGTATTGTTTAGTGAAGGTACAGCTTSGACCTGAATGTCAACGTGAGCTGAGTAATTGTCTGTGCCAAAGGCAAGCAGTGTGGCCTTCTCATGACAATGAATTTCTCAACTCCTCTTTAAACCTGCATCTTTATTAGACCACCCTCTCTTGAAATAAAGTTCATATGACATTTTATGTTTCTATTATTTATGAGTTAGGCGGCTGCTCATTTTATGGCTCCCCCCCCCTCCCTCYGGGCTTATTTCATCACCCTGCCATCAGTCTTGTGCTGTCGCCTTTTCTTGTCACATTTTATTCCAAAGGTTTGGATACTTACTTCTTTGTCCAGACGAATAGATTAGCATAATTTGCATGTGTGCTTTAAACGTCTAGTCTGCTTACATTCATCAGCGGACTTTCACAGCACCCAGAGGAATAAGAAGGGTAAATAGTGCCTAACCTTTTTGGCTAATTTGCGACATTGCGCAAAGACACATCCCAGAAATTAAAGAGCGAGCCTTCCTTGAAAGCATACCAGCACCACCCACTGTCTTTCATAGAAGAGTTTTAGAATAAGATTACCTTATGCTGTGTAAATGCTCCTAAAGAGTTAATCCAAATATACACAACAGCCTCTTTTCCTTCTGAATGTTTTTTTCAGCATGTGACTCATTCTGCAATTTTTGTACTAGTTCAACAATTTATATTCCAAAACATTAAGCTCCTTCAGGACATTCCGTCTATGACTTTTTGGTACTTCAGCAGTGTATGCTTTATATTTAAGGGATCCCCAATTAGTTGTAACATTAGACTTTATTTGATAAACATATATTTTAACTATAAAATAAAGATTGTAAAAATGTGGAGGATGTTCAGTTTTTATTATTTTTAAACTAAAAGTTTAAAAATATATTGCATGGACC